GGACGGTTCTAAATAACATCGGCTAAACGTTTTAGTATTCACAAATACGTTGGTTGGGCAGTTTTTGATAGGCGGGTATCTGAAGAGTGTGGTGTAGGTGCGCATGCGAAGTTTTTTTTGTTTTTTGTTGTTTTTGTTTGCTCATGCGTGCATTTCAGCACGTTTTCTAAGAATTTTGAAGAGTTTGAGTGAGAAAATAAATGTTTGTTTTCTCCAAGTATACAAAAAAGTTTGAGAGTATACTTTTGTCAGACCAAGATACTGTATTAACAAACACAATATGAAAGAATTAGCCTTAAGTTTCAAGCATGGACACTAAGTTTTGATATTTTGTGAAGTCCAATTTATCAGGCATGTTTGAAAGTCAAATTTACAGACGTTTTTCACTCGTGTCGCTCATATATCAATAATATTGTAAGCTGTGGATTTGAACGACTGCGTCAGAAATGCTAGCTGGTGAGGCGTGGTGTAGACTCACTAGATTGTGGTGTAGGGATATGGCGTTCGTTTCTGCACGGGTTGCATGGAAAAAATAACAAAAGTGACGAAATGATTTAATGCGTTGACAAATTAGGGCCAAAGTAAGAGCAAAGCGAAATAATGGTTTCAGTTCTGTCAGAAATGGTAGCTAGTGTGATGTGAGAAGTGGAATTCCTTTTTGAACATTTTCAATTATTGAAATAGCAAAAGGAACAAAAAATATCGCTGTCTATAATTAATTCAGTGCATGGTCCATCAGCGGCAAAATCGGTCGTATATTCCTATGCCGGTATATAAAAAGCGTGGTGTAGGCTCAAGAGTGTGGTGTAGAGATGTGACGTTCCTTTTCACGCAGGTTGCACACAAAAAATGATAAAAAATGGTCATGTCTATAAAAAATATTCGTTCGCCATTAATTAGCGGCAAACATAGAAGGGTAGCCGGTTAGAAGCGTGGTGTTAATTCAAGAGTGTGGTGTAGAGATGTGGCGCTTTCCATTTTACACAGAATGCACGGGAAAAAGGATTTTTTTCAAATGGCCATGCCTATGATTCATGATTTCTTGGTCCATAAATGACAATTCAACTTCTAAATTCCAATTTTGGAATTACAGTGGATGAAGAGCTACTCTGTAGAAATGCCACTGCTAAATCCCATTTATTATTTTATATTATTTATTTATTATTTAAAATATTTGTCTGTTAAAAAGSTACCCGGTGAGAATGCGGTGCTAATTCAAGAGTGTCGCATGATCTAGAACTATTTCAGTCATTAATCTTTTCTTCTGTCAAACCCAGTAGAGCTGTTAAGTTCTTTTAGAAACGTTAATTCAAAGTTGATCATGAATCTACAGGTGAATGCCCGAGGGGTCTCCCGAGGGGATAAGACTCGACCATTACTTTCTACTCATTCAAAACGGATCAATCCGCAGTGATCAAGCAATAATATAATGTATAGCTAGAAGACGCGAACGATATCAACCATGTTACAGCTAATTGACAAATTAACTTGAAAATTAAATGAATTTTTATTGGATGACCAAAGGACCGTGATATTTGCTTAATAGGACAAGACTACCACGAGGTAATACTCCTATTACCGATTTATTACATTACCAAACAATACGCACCTAATCGGCAGAAACACCTCTTTCACTCTTTCACCTCGAGGCAATGCGTGCGCGCGCATGGCACTGTACTCT